CCCGACGGCACCAGGACAACACCACGACGGCACCTTGACGTCACCGCGACACCCGCGACGTCACCGCGACGCCCTCGTCGTCACGGTGACGCCCTGGTCGTCACGGTGACGCCCTCGTCGTCACCGCGACCTCCCGTCCTACCTGTGTCTGTGGTCACGGCTCCGGCTCCGGCTCCGGCTCCTCTTCTTCTTGCTGCCAAAAACCGGGATAAAGAGCCCGGAATCGATCCCAAAACGGCCCCAATTCACCCCAAAATCCCCCTTTCCCCCCGTTTCCACCAAAACGCCCGTATTTCCACCTACCAATTCCAAATTCACCCCCAAACCAACCGTTTCCCCCCCCAAATCCTTAATTTACCCCACAAATTGCCTCATTTTGTCCCAAATTCTGCATTTCTACCCCCAAATCTCCCTAGTTTTCGCCCACATTGCACCTTATTCCACAAACCCTTTAAAATCAGCCAAAAAATCTGCTAAAAATTGTACTCTTTTCCCAAAAATCCCTTAAAATTACCCCCAAATCCCAGAAATTCTACGCAAAATAAAGGGATTTCTCCGTGGAATCAGGTGTAACCCCCAAATTCACATGATTTCTCCCCAAAACTGCAGGATTCACGCCCATAATCACGAGCGTCACCCCCAGAATGGCGCAAATTGCTCCGAATTGGGGGAATTTCCCCCCAAATTGTGCAAATTTTCCCCCAAGTTGTGCAAATTTCCCCCAAATCGGACAAGTTTTCCCCAAACTGTACAAATTTCACCCCACTGTGCAGATTTTGCCATTTGTGGAAATTTTCCCTCAAACTACGCAAACGTATCTGCGAATCGTGCAATTTTCCCCTTAAATTGTGTAAATTTTCCCCCTAAATTGTGCACTTTCCCCCAAACTCCCCAAATTGTGCCAAATTCCCCCAAATTGCGCAAAACTCCCACCAAGCTGTGCAAAATTCCCACTCATCTATTCAAATTCTCCACAAAACCTCCAAATTYACCCTCGATTTGTGCAAACGTCCCCCAAATTGTGATTTTTCTCCCCAAAACCACACAAACCACCCCAAAACAGCAGGGTCAGTCYGCCAAACAGGCGGGCTCAGCCGCAAAACGGCCCAAACTGCCCCCAAAACGGCCCAAATTGCCCCCAAACCGGCACAAACTGCCCCTAAATCACCAGATTTGCCCCCAATCGGGTCTTTTTTCCCAAAATCGCGCGTTTTGGCCCCAAAACGGGGCTCACCTGCTCCCGCTGCTGCTGCCGCTCTCCTTCTTGGCCTCCTTGTTGGGCTCCTCGGCCGCCTGTTGGGGGGGGGCAGGGATGAGACCCCCCCAACACCCCAAAATCCGCCCCCCAACACCCAAAATTTGCAATTTCCCCCTCCCGGCACCCAAAATCGGCCTTTTTGCACCCAAAATTGCACTCACCTGCGTCGCGGGGGGCTCGGTCGGCACCTTGGAGGGACCGGGTTGGGCCTGGGGGGGGGCATCAGAAATGGGGTGAAAACGCCCCAAACGCCCCCAAATTCCCAGGAAGTATCCACAAATACCCCAAATCTCGCCCCAAAATGGCGTTTTTTTCACAAATTGCCCCCAAAAGTGGAGAAAACGACACGCGTTTCAACATAAAAAAATAGCCCCAAAACAGCCCAAAATCTACCCAAAACGGCCCCGAAAACTCAAGTGAATGCAAGTTTCCCTGGGAAAACGGAAATTCTGGGGAAATGACCGCTAAAATCTCTTTGAAAGATGCAAATCTCTAAAARTGACCCCAAAACACCTAAAAACGACCCAATTACTTGCAAAAACAATCAGTTTTCCTGTAATAACCCCCAAATGGCCCCGAATTCACCCTAAAATGCCCCAAAACATCCCAAAACGGTTCTCCTAAATCCTGAAATTCTGCTAAAATGATCTAAAATAATCTTAAATTTTCCTAAAACCCTCCTAAAATATCAAAATGCCTAAAAACGGCTAAAAATCTCTACGAATGACCCCAAAACGCGCAAAAACGGCCCCAAAACGCTTCAAACGACCCTGAGCCCTCCGAACGGCCCCAAAAAAACTCGAAACGGCCCCAAAACCCCTCGAAACGGCCCCAAAAGCGGCGCTGGGGAAAGCGGTGGTTTTTGGGCGCGGGGGGGAGCCCCAAAACGGCCGGTTTTCGCCCCAAAACGGGCGGCCCCACCTCCTCCTTCTTGTAGGGCGCCTCCAGCATGGCCTCGATGACGATGTCGAAGTCGTCCGACGTCATGGCGTCCGCCGGGGCCTGGTGACGTCGGCGGCGACGTCACTCGTGACGTCACTCGTGACGTCATCACTCCCCCCCCCCGTCACTTACCGGGT